CGTACCGCGTAATTTGAGCACGTGAGGTTCTGGCAAGGCACCGCGTTAACGTGGAAACGCGGAATGCGGGACCGCGTAAAGTGAGGGTTAACTGTATATAAATTTTAGTCAACCCTTATCTTTCTTATGACTTGAGCTCTAATAATGTCAAATATTTTTCTGCTGAACTTGGCTTGCTTTTTTTTTTTTACCCAAATTCCGTAAGGGTGAAGTTTTTTAGCCATATCCCGAATTTTTGGTCATACAGTAATTACCAAATTCCGTAAGCGCGAATTTCCATAACGTGAGTTTCTATAAGGCAGGGGATGCCTGTCCTGTACTTACTTACTTTGCCAACAAATATTAGGATAAATTGGATCTCCTGAAAATTCACCTGCCCCAGGCTTATTTCACCTAAGATTACCAAATTCCCATAGAGGGGGAGGGTTAGGTTAGGTTAGGTTAGGTTAGGTTTGCATTAGGGTGGTCAGTTAGGTTTGGTTAGTGTTAGGTTTGTCGTGTATTGTATTAGAATGGTTAATCTTCAAGTAGAACAAGTTGGGGGAGGCAATCTTCAGGTGATCTGTTAAATCTGTGCATAACTGTATTTAGCAAATCAATGAACCCTTTTCCTGAGTGACATCGACTGACTGACTGAGAGAACTTTTTGCTCCAACTTAGCCCTTCCCCAGCACCCTTCCTCCACCCAGAGGTAGGATGTACACTTGTACAGTGTCCAGTAGACCTAAATAGCTGATAATAAATTTTTGGCTATCCAATTGTTAACTTAAACTTTGGAAATAGTGGAGACAATTTTTGCATGGAATCATTTGGAATTAATAGACTTTATTTTTTATAGTAATACTATGGAAGTAAATATTCTTAGTTTGTGTAGGTACTTTTATAGTCAACTTGATTTTTGTATGATATTATTTCAGGAGTAATGTGCATTCTTTCTTCTTTTTTTTTACAAAAACTGATTATCAAATAAATACACTGTAGTGGTTGTAGCAAAGAAATCATTTTGTGAGATGGTATGTAATAAAGCCTGCCTGACACCTGAGATATATGACCTAAGACCTGGTAGTGAGGACAAAAGAGAACTATAGTGTTTTGGTCCTGTGTTAGTCATGGCCAATTCACAGCACCTTCAGGAGTCATATCAGGGGTTCAGACTGACACAATACTGATTTTAGAACCTTTTGTGTTGAAGTGTGAATAAGGAAGGTGTTCATGACGTTACAATTGGTCTTAAAATTAGTGACATGCTAACTGAATTTACTTTAAATACGTAGGTGGTGAGGAGATATGTATTTCCCCGGTCCACCTAAAAATTTTTACACGTTTAAGTTAAGGGATTCGGAATTAGCATGAAATTGATTTTTAGATGCATAAACTCACTATAAATGTCTTCTTTACTTACTCAAAATAATTTGGAACCCTTGATAATGACTTTCAGGAAACACGACTAACAAGTCCATGTTGTTTTCCAGGGGCTTGACGTGGTAAGAATGTGAATTTCATGCATGTTGTAAATTGTCTGGAGAAAGCCAAACCATTACTGTTGTTGACCAACACAAAAGAGTTGGCAATAAACCCTTCAATACAGGGAGTAGTAAAGTCCTGGGTGTGCCTTACTGTGAGAAGTGTTGCGAGCATGTTGTGGTGACCTGGTGTTGATCTGCCATAGGTCTTGCCATTGTCTCAGTAACATCCCTCTTACGGGCTAAAACTGATGAAATAATTCCAACAAACAATTAATAGCCAACTTATCCAGATGAAGACATTTGTGTGTTGCAGCATGGCAGCAATACACCTTTCTTACCAAAATTACTAAAATGCCATAGTAGTGGGATAAAGGTACACAACAGTGCTGCACCACCACAGTAAATGTCGGTGCAAGTAATGGCAGACTTGCATCAGCAGTGCTCATGAGGGTCACCTCAGCTGCATCAGACAGCAAAGTGAACGCTCCTCACACACCACACAGGTGATACATGTCCATACTCATGCCCAAGACAAGAGTCCTGGAATTTATCACCCTGTCAGCACCATATTGTTCAATTTCAAAATTTTTTGGTGTTATCTTAGGCACATATGAAGGTTTATTATCTGCCCACATTACTTACACTTTTCAGCTTTACAGCAGTGTCGCTGTGTACTAGGCGCCACCCTGGACCATCAGACTGTTGACCCAGTAGTTTAGTTCGGACTTATTCGTTAATGGTCGCTCAATATTTTTACACTTGATATGCTGTAGTCTCACGTTCAAGTATCAAGAACAATAGTGAGTATAAGTCATGGAAAGAAGCACAAAAGCCTTAATTTGTTGTTAACTTGTATCAATGGTGAAACTATGAAATGTGACCCATTAATAGGAAGTTGCCACAACATAACCAACCTCTTACTTGAAGGTTAAGGCGAGGATGAATAATTTTCCTGATTATTTGATCATAGTTGTAGATTGTTCAATGTCTTAATGTTTAAGAACTTGTTCAATAATGGCTCATGCATAGTTGTAGGTTATCATGGCAGAGAGCAGCCAGTCCCCCCAAGAGGGCTGGGGGCCTCCCTTGCCACACATGCTCATCTAGACAACAGCACCTCATTATTCACTGAAGCTTCAAAGTTTATTTTTCCTGTAAACAACTTATTTTCAGTCTTCGATCATACCATCCAATGTTTATAGTTTATAGAACAATCATGTTAACATTTACTACAATATGTTGACAATACTGGGTCAGAATTCATGTTAACATTTACTACAATATGTTGACAATACTGGGTCAGAATTCATGTTAACATTTACTACAATATGTTGACAATACTGGGTCAGAATTCATGTTAACATTTACTACAATATGTTGACAATACTGGGTCAGAATTCATGTTAACATTTACTACAATATGTTGACAATACTGGGTCAGAATTCATGTTAACATTTACTACAATATGTTGACAATACTGGGTCAGAATTCATGTTAACATTTACTACAATATGTTGACAATACTGGGTCAGAATTCATGTTAACATTTACTACAATATGTTGACAATACTGGGTCAGAATTCATGTTAACATTTACTACAATATGTTGACAATACTGGGTCAGAATTCATGTTAACATTTACTACAATATGTTGACAATACTGGGTCAGAATTCATGTTAACATTTACTACAATATGTTGACAATACTGGGTCAGAATTCATGTTAACATTTACTACAATATGTTGACAATACTGGGTCAGAATTCATGTTAACATTTACTACAATATGTTGACAATACTGGGTCAGAATTCATGTTAACATTTACTACAATATGTTGACAATACTGGGTCAGAATTCATGTTAACATTTACTACAATATGTTGACAATACTGGGTCAGAATTCATGTTAACATTTACTACAATATGTTGACAATACTGGGTCAGAATTCATGTTAACTTTGACCTCTAATTGGTGATAAAATAAAGTACCAGTGTAGGTAGACGCTCAGTATAATTTGGAACCCATTTTGAACATTATATGTATGCTCTTTCTTATGTCTGCTTATTTGAAACCTTGCTTTATCTCCATTTATGAGAAACAATTTAATGTACAAAGCCTAAAGCTTTGAGAATCCTTGCCCTGGCTGGGTTTGGAAGATCAAGATTCTGTTATTATGGCTCCTTCACTAATGGAGTCAGGGAACATGTGCGCGTCAACTTGAGTGCTAGAGCCTTATCACTAAACTCGTGAAGTAAGATCACAAATATACGTAGAGGTGGATGTTCCCATATAAGCTTTGGGAATACAGAACTGGAATTGATACCATGGTGGGCTGCTCATAATAGTAATTTAGTTGTTATTACTTGTTTCCTGTAATGCACTTGTTGACCATATACTGTACATGTTGCTGTGTTGTATTATATTTAGGATATGTATACTTTTTGAATAAGTGTTATGCACTATTTACTCATTCATGTAGATAAATCACTTTATTGTTCTTGAGCGCTACGTACATAACTTAGAAATTCAGATAAAGTTTATAAATGTACGGTACTGTACAGTATTTTCACTATACAGTATTTATCTTGTTTATTAGAGTTAGGTCCAGCTAAACATTGAAAATTTTGGGACCACAGGAAGATTAAGCATCTCAGCTTATTTCATCTGATGTTTAAACACTAACACTAACTTAACCTAACCTACTGTAGTAAAATATGCTGGGAAGACTAATCTTCAGTTATCTTCAATTGATACAAAATTTTTATATCCCAACAAGAAATAGTATCCTACTTTCATCTGATAATTGTTTCATTGGGTCATCTTATATTTATAATGTGGACCACACTCCTCAACCAATATAATACATATTGTAACCTCAGATTAATATCCCAATAAGGGTAAGAAGATGGACTCCTCACCTATGACACTGTTTGGCTACTTCAACGAGCGAGTGAAGGCCAACCTGCACTTGGTAGTGGCCATGTCCCCCATAGGCGACACCTTCAGGACCAGGCTCAGGATGTTCCCCTCCCTCATTAACTGCTGCACTATAGACTGGTAGGTCCTGGTGGGTCTACTGCTTCATGTGTTAGAAGATGTCGTGTTGCCAGGTGTCCCTCACTTGTGTATTGTCAGGTGTCCCTGGTAACGTAGTGTGTAATGTTGTGGTAGTGTATTGTATAATATTGTTGTGGTACAATAATGGTTTCTTCTTATAGGATTTTAGAAAGTTAATAAAAAAAAATTTACAGGTTTTTACTTTCAGTGCTATGTGAGAGCTCATTGATATTATCTATAGTGCTAATCCTTTTTATGCAGGGCTTTATAATAATAGTAATACAGTAACAATAAGATTAGTAAGAATTATAATGATAATGTACAGTAATACTGTCATAATAATGCTAATAATAATAATGATAATAATTTCATTAATAACAATACTGTAATAATAATTGGCAATGTGTTTCCAAAGAAAATTTTGCCTTCTTAAAGGGAAAATTTTTACCCCCCAAAATATAATACAGTACTACTATATGTATCAAGTAAATATGCACTAAAATAGTATAATAAATACCTGCTTCTCAAATAAAATCATAAATAGAAATAATACTGTAGTACAGTTACCAGCAAGAAACATAATGCTTGTCATGTAATTTCACATCAGATTAATTGCCTTCCTGTTTCTCTTAATGCCACTGCTGCCTCTAGCACTTAATGTCCTCTGGCCAAGCTTAGGAAAACAATGGAAACACATATACAAAAAACATACACAAAAAACACAAACAAATTCCAGGTTGCAGAATGAAATGTACAGTCCTCCAAAAAAAAGGTATTGTTAACCATGGGGTCGATGTGTTTCGAGGACACGTCGCTACCTGGCATTTAATTGCAATTCTCAAAACCCCCTCCCACACCCTCCATCACACGCATTGCTACCGTCGTCGTCTTGCCTGGCGAATCGGGTGTAAATACGCACAATGAAAGCACCGCTAAAATTTTTGTTGTAATAGCTGAAATACTAAGTGCCACGAGGATTTTATATAGGGTATTTATACATCTTAGCACGGTGAGGAAATCGAGTGACTTTTATTTTGTTTCTCTCTCAGATATTGTGTTTGGGACAATTTTTTATACGTTCTGGTCAGTATGGCAACCACAGCTCGTTTCCTATTAGGAAGACAGTAGATCGTTAGTGACTAATATCCTCTGTTTTTGAGTTCCATAACTTCAAAACTCTGTAGAATGCAGTTCTGTTAAATGGCAAATGCCAGTATAATTCTGTAGAGTCACAAGATTATGACCTTTTCTTGTTCAGGTTTACTGCATGGCCTGATGATGCCTTGGAGATGGTGGCCACATCACTGCTGCAGGAAACTAAACTGGAGGCATCATTGTTGGCTCACTGTGTCACTGTCTGCAAGTATTTCCACCACAGCATTGATGACCTTGCCCACAGGTAGTTTCAAGGACATCCACACCTTGCTTATGTTATCATTTTCAGTTTAACTACCAAGGGTCAAAGACTGCTTCGTGTGGATTTCATTTTAGCATTTATCCAGTTGTTTCTCAAGTAGGCAAACCTGAGCAATCTATAGACTGATGTCTGTCTCTTTATACTAGAAATTTGTTTTTAATTATGTAAATACAGTTTACCACAGTCAGAAAACTCTCTTCAATAAAACATCCATGTTTGATTGTTTGTGTTTTAACTTCTGACTGGCCAATGATGATCATGTAGAAAATAATAGTACTGCACAGGCATAGGACCACTGATCTGGCATGCTTGGGAGCTGGGAATGGAGGTGCTGGGATTGGGCAAGTGTGATCGACGTGACCTCTGCATCTTGAGACGCGATTGGTACTAAGGCATTGTGGGTGGTAGCATGTGAAGTTCGCATGTCACCACATGAGACAGGAGAGTTTATCCCATTATTCTGAGTTAGTTTAGTGCATTTTATATTCAAATAGGCCCACTAAATGTCAAAATTTCATATGAGGTGACCTGAAGCTCTAAAGATGCACACCATATGACTTGACTTGAAGCCCAGGGGTTCAAGACATTAATTAACCCATGAGAACCTGGTGGGCTTCCAAGACCTCATTAAAACCATAAGACATACTGTACATGAGACGTTGGTAGCCCTCCAATACCTTAATTAACCAGACATACATGAGACCTTGATGAGTGCTCCTACAGGTTCTATGAGCAGCTGCGGCGGAGGTACTATGTGACATTGTGACATCCACCTCCTACCTGGAGCTCGTGTTCACCTTCAAGCAGCTCCTCCTTAAGAAGCGCTCAGAGATCCTCACACTACGGGACAGGTAAAGCTCAGGAAGCTCATCACCAGCTTTAGTAATGTTATACTGTACATCTATTGATGAATTTTATTCTATGAGAATTACCCGACCCAACTTCGATTTTGTTTTTATTTTACTTGTGAAAATCAATAATATTGTGCCCAAGTTATTTTAAATGTATGAATATGCATTCTTAGTGCCAAAAACATTAACCATTTCATCTCTGAAGGTATGTGACAGGTCTGGAGAAACTGAAAGAGGCCAAGCTGTTGATCACTGAACTGCAAGAAGAGCTAAAGCTGCTGCAGCCCTGCCTAGTGGAGACCTCTGCCAACACGGAGGCACTTATGATCAAGATCGAACAAGACACCATCCAAGTGGAGAGGAAACAAGAGGTGTGAAGCTGTTATCTTTCACTTGTCAAACTTACCTGTTAATACTATTAATAATTCTATAACAAAAAGATGTATCTCTAACTCTGTAATAGATGGTACAGTGTGTATGTTGAAGTGCAGAAATGTACTACAGATAATACTCAACCAGGTGCCATAACTACACTACATGTGTGAGTTTGGTTGTGTAGAAAATATGTCGAAGCGAGTTAATTGTTTTTAATGAAATTAGATAGATTGGTTGGTTTAGACAACTAACTTCTTTAAATTAAGAGAAAATATATAAGAAATCAAGTTCAAAGAGCCCTTTATATTTCATGCACTAAAATACATAAAAAATTTATGTGGTTATTGATCATTCAATCTACCTAGCAAATTTAACAGATGTGAAATATATTGTCTTTGACTGTGAACTGTAAGTGTGACCTTGACCTGCTTTCTCCAAAATTAGACTAGATTTCTCTTAATCAACAGCAACCTATAGTCCCAAGTTTCATTAACTCTAATAAAGAGTTGTGTAGACAACAGACACATACAGTGGAATGTGACTGTGACCATGGCTTTGAATATATTTACCCCAGCTTTCAATTACAGTACCTCTTCCTTTGCCTACACTCAACCCTTGACGATCATTTGGTGAAGAGGATAAAAGAAAAGGAAAAGTAACAGAGACGTGACCGATCGCCCAAGCACCTAACGAGCCAATCAGTGGTGAAGAGGATAAAAAAAAAAGACTGTTTCACTAGAGTTCACCAGTCTATTCTTTAGCTTTACTTGCCCAAATTTATTTATTTTCTCTGAGGTAAATAACCTTTTAGCCTGCCAGGTTTCATCGAAGCTACCCTTCCCATTCTTTTATATATTTTGTTCATAGATACAAACACAAGTATAATTCCCCAAACCCAGAAGAACAAACATAAGTGAAACATGGAAGGTTGTTGAAGATACCACAATGAAACCAATGTTGTAGTCACAATTCAGTCAGTGTTTTGTGATCTTGATGTAAAATATTGTCATTGGCAAGGTTCTTGTTACTATCATGAACACCTTGCTAGTTATTGCTGTTTTTGTGTTCGTGTTTTATGTTCCCTTCTAATGTTAACCCTGCCTCTCTTGGTAAAAAAAAAAGATGAAAGTGATAACATATCTCATTTCTTGGTTGTTGATAACAAATTTGTTCTCAGTTGGTGGCGGCAGACGAGGCGGTGGCCAATAAGAAGTTTGCCGATGCACAGGCCATAAAAGACGACTGTGAAAAGGAGCTCGCCAAGGCAGTACCAGCTCTCAATGCTGCCACAGACGCCCTCAACACCCTCAAACAAGATGACATACGCGTCGTCAAGGCCATGAAGAACCCGCCCTCAGGAGTCAAGCTGGTGAGTATAACCTACCAAATGATGACATTGGTTATGAAGAGTGCTCACCTTAACCTCCACTCTGACTCTACCTAAGTCTCCACTGTTGTTTTACCTAATCTTCCACTCTGACTCTACTGTCCCCAAACCTTCACTTTGCCTTAATATCCTCTAGCTGTTGACCTTAAGTCACTTTGTGCTCCTAACACACCCTGTGATCCTCACACCCTCCTAAAGATATATGAAAAGTTTTGTCCCTGTGTTGTTTTTTGTATTTCTAATCATTAGTGAAACTTTTTGAGAAATACTACATCAGTTGAGGCACTCTGCATTAGAAGGGGGTGAAGCTCCAAATTCAAAAAGCTGAGAAAAACACGTTGAAAGTTTTCAAGGTTCAAACAACCATAACTTTTTTTTTAAGCTAGAGGGTTCTTTTTTTTATCGTGCAGCTTAATCCCTCTCCTAGCGAACTGTGACAACTGGAAATTAGTACAGTGAATAGTTATTAATTTATTGCGAGTTGAATGAAAATAACCCGTGATGTAGAGTTGTTTGATCTTCAAACCAACAATAATCGCATTTTTCTGCAATTTTTTTTTATTAATATTTGTGGGTTAATACTGTAAAACAAGTTAATGATAACCAAAAACAGCACTCGTTTTACCCCCCCCCCCAAAATAATAATAAAAACTCATTTGCCTATTAGTATTTATCTTTCCATCCCTATTATTAGCCAAAAATTTATAATATTGTTAAGTTTAATAGTGTGTAATAATGAGGAAACACCACTACACTCATCCCACCCCCTACCATGGTTAAGAGAGTATTCTGATAATAGTATTACAATCTTACTTTGTTTAGTTCCTTCGTTTTATTATCCCTGAATATCGTAGTAACTTGAAGTTACGTAAATCCTGAGGAGTGCGTTTAACTTAAATGGCCTCTTCATTATCAATCATGTACTGATCAAAGTCTTTTTCTGCCCTCTCTAAAAATCGCCACACAGATTCTTCATGAACTAAATCATTGATTTTTGATGCCGGCAACAGTTCAGTTTCATTATAAGATTGAGTTATGGGCTCACTTTCATTAGCATTCGTTGGTTCAGGCACACTTTCATCACTATCAAGGTCAATGCATGCCTCGTCACTGTCCATTTCTACCTCCTCACAGTCTGTATGTTCTTGTTGTGATACATTAGTGTCACTCTGTTACCATTAGACTCACTTTCATCATTTTCATCTTCACTTTCATCATCATTACTGCTGTCAGTGCATGTCACGTAACTCTGTACCGGAACATAGTCTGCAAAAAGGTCTTGTGATGCATAGCAGTCACTTTTTGTATGATGAGTACAGTGAGTTCTGCTATAACGCGTGTTTTGACAACGCGAATTTGCTCGAACGCGATTTATGAATTGAGGAACGATATTTGTAAAACGGGAACTCGTTTGCTCTAACGCGATTCCACTCGAACGGTTGTTGTGGCTTCAGTTCACGTTCGACATCACATGTTCAATTGAGTTATGTGTTTTGTTTGTGAACAATTGCAGAAATAATGTATGGAATATTTATGTATACAGTATACCTATATATTATAAGTAAATTGTAAAATTTTACATAAAAGAGAAAATCAAATTACATAGCGTTTTACACCCGCGCTCTCTCTACATCACACACAGTGTTTACAGTTCACGTTCGACATCACATATTCAATTGATTTATGTGTTTTGTTTGTGAAGAATTGCAGAAATAATTTATGTAATATTTATGTATACAGTAAACCACTCACAAGGTCCTACAGTACCACTAATTATTTTATACTGAAACTTACGTTTGGTAAGCTGGATTAAAATGAAGATTACCGGTATATTAAAATAATAAAAATGTATTATAAACCAGTCTAACATACCGTAATAAACACAGCTGCTATTATCATCCCCCCCTCCCCCATTTGCCAGTGACAAGAAAGGGAAAGTGACCTTGACTGTGACCGCCTGTGGCTATTTTTAGCCGTCCTTGTGTTCGGAGGTGGTCAGTAATGCATATCTGTATATTTACTGATCATAATACTTATCTCTTATAAATAATTCATTTAAAATTTATTTTTTTGCAAAGAATATTCAGTAAATGACTGCATTAATTCTTGAAACTACCTACAGTGGTAAATTTAGGATATAAATAATGAACAGAAGTCACGTCATGGATTCGGAGTTTGGTCCTTAACGATCACCATAAATGTAGCCTCCCTTTTTCGCGAAACACGTATATAAATTAAAGAAAATACTTGCAGTATATTTAATATATTACAGTATATTATATATAAATAAATAAACAAATAAATTCAAATTCCCTTATCATCCTGTGTCATATACAGAAATACTTGAGTCCCTGAGCGAGTACACAAAAAGAAAACGGAGGACTAAGACATCCTGAAGTGGGTAGAGAACGACATCTCTACTGGGGGACTCAAACGTTTCTCATGTTTTGTGGGCGCTCTAGCATAATATGAATATGTAAATTACAATTTACATATATATATATATATATATATATATATATATATATATATATATATATATATATATATATATATATATATATATATATATATATATATATATATATGTAAATTGTAAAAATTTAAATAAAAGAGAAAAACTAAATACGTAGCGTTTAAAGTGTTAAAGTGTACTGTACAGTGTTGTGGCTTGGCTCAATGTTTACAGTTCACGTTCGACATCACTTGTTCAATTGATTTATGTGTTTTGTTTGTGAAGAAATACCTGTACAGTATATGTAAATTGTAAAATTTTAAATAAGAGAGAAAAACAAAATAAGTAGCGTTTAAAGTGTACTGTACATTGTGGCTTGGCGCGGGGTTATGCAGTGTTTACAGTTCACGTTCGACATCACATGTTCAATTGATTTATGTGTTTTGTTTGTGAAGAATTGCAGAAATAATTTATGTAATATTTATTTATACAGTATACCTGTACAGTATATGTAAAATGTAAAATTTTAACTAAGAGAGAAAAACAAAATACATAGCATTTTAGACCCGCGCGCTCTGTTTACTCCACACTTTGTTTGAAACACGTGTGAAGTTTTTAAGTGTCCTCAGTGAATTCTGATTACTGTTTCTCCAATTTTGTGACTATGGAAAAGAAGAATATCTCTGGGAAGCACTCTGGTGATCGCATTTCCGGTGGTGATCGTAAAAGAAAGGCTATAACACTTGAAGAAAAGCTTGATGTTTCATGACTCCTCAGCCTCAACATCACCCTTATCCCCCATCAAGTTATATTCATATTTTTTCAAGGTAAAGTGTAACATTTACTGTATGATTTCATTATTAGATATGAATGTAACATTTATTTAGACTGTGCTATCCTTTGTGTTAGGCTAACTACGAAATTTTTTTTCGATTTGGAGTAATCTGCTGGACTTGAAGCAGAAGAGGGAGGAGTCGAGGAGGAACGGGGACAGGTGCACATGGGTTATACTCAGGGGGAGGGTAGTGGAAACAAGTGTGCCGACACAGGGCCAGGGGGCAGCAGTGCACCCTCCACCCACTCAACCCCCCACCCGGGAGGCGGCACCAGCTCAGCCTACCGGACAGGAGGGAACGAGCGCCGTGTAAACAATGACATTTTTAACCACACCCTGCAAAATACAGTGTACTTAGCAAATGCTGCAGCTTCTGAGAATGTGGGTGGAGCGGGTTTATTACTAAGAGCAGAGACGTTACCGAGAACAAATTCTGGCTTGAATGTCATGTACACTAATACCGACACGTTCCTTGATAAGAGGGAGGAGTTTGAAACACTACTAAGAGTACACCAACCAGATATTGTAGGAGTTGTAGAACTGTTGTACAAGAACAGGAGAATCGACCCAGAGGAATGTGAGTTCAGTATTGCTGGATATGACTCATTTACGAACCTAACTCAAGAATCCTGCAGGAGGGGTGTGGTTATCTACGCTAGGCAAGACCTTAGAGCCAGCCAGGCGAGGGTACAGGGAGAGGATGTTTTTGAAGAGTCCAAGTGGTGTAAAATTAAATTAAAGGGAGGGGACTTACTTATCGTCGGGTGTATCTACAGATCCCCGAACTGTGGCCCACTAAATCAAAGGAACTTAAGAACCTTAATAAACAATGCGGCGATGCTCAACCCCAGCCACCTCCTTATCATGGGGGACTTTAACTATGGCGACATCGACTGGAGAAACGAGTCAACCCCGAATGACTTGAATAATCCTGCTACTCTTTTTGTAGAAACTCTGAGAGATAATTTTCTGTTCCAACATGTGAGAGACCCGACACATTACAGAGGGGAGCAAACACCCAAGCCACTTGACCTCATCATAACAAACGAGGAGGGTATGGTGGCCAAACTGGAACACCTTGCCCCAGTTGGCACCAGTCACCATACAGTGTTGTCATTCAGATTTAACTGTTACCTAGTTCAAGATAAGGCCAGGCCAAGGTGCAAATATTACAAGGGAAATTACAATGGGATGAGGGAAGAGATGAGGGGTATCAACTGGCCTGACTTATTAAGGTACAAGAACGCAGACACTACGCTGAATATCATAACTAGTAAAATGACCCATTTGATCGATAAATATATACCCAAGACCAAACCCAGTGCTTCTAGGAATACGAGGGGATCCCTACACATGAACCATGCGGCGGTCGACAAAATTAAGAAGAAAACCCAGAAATTCAAGACGTGGGTTGGGTCAAACGATGAGCAAGACAGGAGGATGTATGCAAGAGCCAGAAACCAAGCAAAGATAGAGTGTAGGAGGGCTGAAAAGGAGTTCCAAAGGCTGGTTGCACGCGAGGTCAAGTCAAACCCAAAGGCGTTTTACCGCTATGCAAAGTCGAAATTGAAAACGCGAGTAGGAGTATCAGACCTGAGGCTTGAAGATGGTAGTTACGCAGATTCTGACCAGGATAAAGCTGAGGCATTGAACAGCTTCTTTTCCTCAGTGTTCACAAGAGAGGATGCAACTAACCTTCCTGCGTTTGAGGACAGACGGTTCGACACAGCACTGACCCACATTGTGTTCACAGAAGAGGGTATTAGAAATAAACTGTCCAGGCTAAAGGTCCATAAGAGTCCTGGACCTGACATGGTGCATACTAGAGTGCTAAGGGAGCTGTGCAACGAGCTTGCAGAGCCCCTGAAGATTCTGTTTTGTAAATGCCTGGATGAACAAATGGTCCCCAGTGAATGGAAAGTGGCTTATGTGAGTCCTATCTTCAAGAAGGGCGATAGGCACTCCACGAACAACTATAGACCGGTGAGCCTGACCAGCATAATATGTAAAGTACTTGAGAGTATTATCAGAGATGCAGCGATGGAACATCTACTACGAAACAACCTTGTAAAAGATTGCCAACACGGTTTTATGCCGGGGCGCTCTTGCTTGACACAATTGCTCAAGGTATTGGATATTTGGACCCATATTCTAGAACGGGGTGGTAATATCGACAATATTTACCTAGATTTTGCCAAGGCTTTCGACAGTGTACCCCACGAAAGGCTGAAAATCAAACTGGAAGGGTACGGAATTCGGGGAAATGTCCTAGTGTAGATAGATGACCTTCTACATGACCGCAAGCAGTGTGTGGTGATTAATGGCACGAAATCATCATCTGTACCTGTCACAAGTGGGGTACCACAGGGCAGTGTACTGGGCCTGCTGTTGTTTGTTTCATAAATGACATGCCTGACATTGTACACTCCTACATACAAATGTTTGCCGATGACGCCAAGTTATTTCAGGAAAGCAAGAACCAAGCAGACTGTAAAGAGCTGCAGAAGGACCTCTGTGGGCTCCGAGAATGGTTGAAGAAATGGCTGCTGAAATTCAATGTCACGAAGTGTAAGAGGATGCACCTGGGGCGTACCAACGGTAAGGAGGCGTATCATATGTCCCAACGGGATGAAGAAAATGTACTAGTTGAGACTGTGTGTGAGAAGGACCTAGGTATGTATGTTGACAATGAGCTGAAGTTCTCGGGCCATTGTGAGAAGAAGGTAAATCAGGCAAATAAATTATTGGGTCTTATAAGAAGGTCGTTCAGATATCTAGTGGCGAAGAGGATAAAAGTAAAAAGTAAAAGTTCTCCATAAGCCCTGTTATTTCTATTACACGAATTTCTATAACACGATGTTTTACAAGAACACTACTATCGCGTTATAGCAGAACTACCTGTATACCAAAATCACTATCACTATCACCAAGCATTCCTAGGATGTCCACATGAGCACTGTCATCACTAAACACACGTTCAGGAATAATGTGCTCCTGAACCTATACCAGAAGGCCTGGCTTCACTCAACTCTTGCTCCAATATCGGGCAGATATTGCACAGCATTTTACACACCCGTGGATGAACAACATCATTGTTACGCCGAAAAGTTATCAAAAATAGCCATAGAAAGTACACTGAACCTCCTTATGCTATACAATGCACCAAAACTAACAAGGAGGCAGCATCTGGGCGCGCGGATTGGCCGAGGAGCTGTGACATAGCAAGGGGAAATCCATTGTGAATGGCGCTGTCATTGGCTCGCGCTCCTCTCGTTCTGAACGGGAAGTTGCCACCTTCTTTGACTGAGCGCACAGCCAGATACGTAGCTCCAGGCCTGAGGCAAAATCACGCCTAATTTTGAAGGACTTTCTACCATATTTCTATTCTAGCTAGAGCGTTACATCCAACGGGTGAAAATAGTGATATCCATCAAAAAACGCATTTTGGCCAGAGTGTCACTTCACCCCCCTCTAATGCTGAGCGCCTCAATTCTAGTGGGTTATGAGAAACATAACATCAATTCTAGTGTGTGATGAGAAACATATTTCTAGTGGGTGATAAGAAACACTACTTCAATTCTAGTGGGTGATGAGAAATACCATCAACAAGGCAGAGTGAAGCCATGTGTCATCTTCATAGACTTCTGTGTAATTTTTATCCTAACCTAACCTAACATAACTTTAACCAAACCTAGCATAACGTAACTTAAGATAGCATAGTCTAACTTAAGATGACCTGACCTAACACAACTTAACCCAGCTCAGTAATGCAGTGTTTCTCATCATCCATCTCATGTTTTTCATCACCCAGGTCAGTAAAGTTTCTCATCACCCAGTTCTCTAATGCAATGTTTGTGTTCATGTTTTACTAGAGCTGTAAAAATACCCAAAATAACAATGCTGCACTATACAGTTCAATATTATGCTTTATGTCAGGTAATGGAAGCTGTGTGTGTAATGCTGGACCTCAAGCCAGAGAGGAAGCCAGACCCTAATGGCTCAGGAAAAATGATTGAGGACTATTGGGCACCATCTCAGAAGCTGTTGGGGGATATGAAGTTCCTCCAGAACCTGCTGCACTATGACAAAGAAAACATTCCCACAAAGATTATCACTCACGTCCGCAACGAGTAAGTTCAAACATTATTTCCGTGATATGGTATTCATTAGGTAATTCATCTTTGCCATTAAGTATGACCAAGACAGAGGCTATCAGAGTGGTGTCGAGACAGACAGACCGATATGAATAAACTCATACTATTGAACAAATAAAATGCTGTAAAAAATTATCAACATTACTACTACTACTGTCTCAGTACTGTACTAACATGTAGCTACCTGATGCTTGCACTCAAGAGTGTGCACGGTTATTCAGGACGGATTACATCTTGGAATATTTTCTTGCTATACCAGTATATTTTCCTTTACCCAATGAAAATGTAAAATAACAGTTGAAAATCTTGGTTGCTGGAACAGTGCTGTTGAATATGGACGCCTTGAGAATGACACACACAGTAATAACTGTGTAAGTCACACTACCTACTGTCACATTTAGAAATGAGTGTTCTTCCACTTTAACCCTGAAACCTATTATAAACTCACAAAAAGTAAAGGAAATAAATGTTGAGACATTTTAAAATGTACTTATCCATTAATTTACTTATTCATGCATATGTATCTTATGCTCAGGTAAATACATACTATTGTTTCACAAGAAATCACAAAAAATAAAGTCCCTCTTTTATCTTTAAAGAAGACTTGAGTGACACATAAAACTGTGTGAGTACTGAAGTGGATGACTTAGGGACTTTCTACTTCCTGCCAGGTTCTACTCTCACCCGGATTTTGACCCAAAGAAGATACGTATGGTATCAATGGCTTGTGAGGGCCTCTGCCGATGGGTGAGGGCCATGGTTGTCTATGATCAAGTCATAAAGATTGTCGCCCCCAAGAAACAAGCTTTGGAGGCTGCCAACCATGAACTGGCCCCCCAGAATGAAAAGCTAGAGGAAAAGAGGAAGGAACTCAGAGAGGTAATGTGTGAACCGAGAAAGATGTGTGAAATAAAAGACATTGCATGTAGAACCATTTCAACATATAGAATTACTGTATGGTAGACTTAGTCATCATTATATTATGAAGACTACTGTTCCTTCTACAGTATATGTTCATCTACCTGTAATATGTGCATGAGTCTGCTCAGGTGTTGTGAAACAAAAGTTTTTTAGTTAACCCTTTACTTGTCATATTCCTAGATCCATGTACGTGAGTGACCATCTCTGAGCAGTCCATTACGTAGATCAATGAATTTGACTTTTTAAATTTCCCACAGCATCTGAAATGGTCCAGAAGGATTAATATATTTAAAATATGGCACATGGTAACCTCTCAAGACACATTAGCCTGTATCAGCAACCTCTGTCCCTCCAAAATGCTTTGTTTACTAACCCTACCACCACTACACCCATACACATCCATCCAGTCCCTCCCCAACATTTCCCAAGTTTGCTGCCCACATCACAGGCTAACAAATATGCCCAGAGACTTTCTCACGTATGCAAGAACACAGTGTTACTTGAAAAAGTGCACACAGATGCTAGGTATTGCAGCAGTGAGTGTGATCTGGTAGAATGTTCCAAGAGTTCACAACTCTCACTCCGAAAAAGTTTGCCCTCACAGTTTTCTGGACTTGCGGCTTCTTCAGTCTTGAGCTGTGACCCCTTGTTAGGCGAGCGTCTGCCAGCTCCAAGTAAGAACACTCGACTGAGTAGTACCCCTTGAGATGCTTATACTACACCTCAATTAGGTCACCCCTTACCCGTCTGTAGTACAGGTTGTACCTCTCTAGTCCGGCATTCTGTGGTCCAGAAACTCCCGTGGTCCGGAACGATTTTAGTTTGTCCAATAGGTAGATAGGCAGCTTTCTTTTTCTTTTTTTTTCTTTTTTTTTTTTATCTGAATTATTATTATTACAGGAGTATTAAATTTTTGCCCCTCAGGCCCCAATGTGGGTCAGTGACTTATGCACAGGTGGGCTAATCTCCTTAAAAAAAACAAACAAAGCCACGGGAAATTAAGGTTTGTTTACATCTGGCTGCTCTCTCTCTCTGTCTGCTTGTCTATACAGAGGACAACATTTAACCCTTCAATATATATGAGCAGTAAATAAGTGTTGCTTTCATATTCTTATGTAGAGTAATGAGATATGTTTTCACATGTGCGCACTTACATGCGCGCAGTCTCACTTTTTTTTTACCATTAATGGTTAGCTACTTATATTGTTCCATTTATTAACATTAAATAACATTACAGGTACTTCAAACAACCATATTAATTTTTTTACATTCATTTTACTACAGCTAAACTCAGGGTCTTATTTTCTTCAGTTTTATATGTAGAACCAATCAGTCACTGGTTTTGTAAGCTGTAACATAAACAATGCCGGCAGCCGTCTCGTCTCCTCTAATATTCCACGTATTATTAACAAATTGAATTGTTAATTTTGCACACACAAACATTAATTCAATAAAAGCAAATTCAGAAACATTAATTAAAATATATATGAACAGTAAATAAGTGTTGCTTTCATATTCTTATGTAAAGTAATGACGATATGTTTTCACGTGTGCGCATGCGCACCTACATACGCGATCTCTCTTTTTTCTTTACCATTATCGTTAGCTACTTCTATTGTTCCATTTATTAACATTAAATAACATTACTTAAAACAACCATATTAATTTTACTACAGGTACAACCAAAGTCTTATTTTCTTCAGTTTTATATGTAGAACCAGTCAGTCACTGGTTTTGTAATCAACGAAAACAATGCTGTGTCATTTCCTCATGTGTTTTAATATTCTACATATTATTAATGAATTGTATTGCTCATTTTGCACACGTAACATTAATTCAATAAAAAAGACATTCAGTAATGAACAATAATGAATCTTTTGTACATAAGAGGAATGACGCTGTTTACACGATTATGCACGTCGTCTGCACGTTGGCGGGCCGTTCAAACCCGTCGAAATTCAAGTTTCCGCCGTCAAAATTTTTATTTATTTATTTTTTTGTGTGTTCTAATAAAATACGTTAAGAATTAAAAACTCGCGAAATTTGAGAAGCTACTATACGACATTTAACCCTTCAATAAGTCTTCAAAGAGACCATGATGCAGAGAAAGTGGTGCTAGTGCTTCCAAGCATAAGCACAAGTCACTATCTATGCAGGAAAAGGGTGAATTTCCATGGTCCAGCACCAGTCAGATCCCGAGGTTGCCGGACTAGAGAGGTATAACCTGTATAAGCTAGGCAAGTTCAGGCGCTCCATTCTCTCATGGTAGTTGAGGACAATCAAAATTCGGTTTAGCTCAACTTGCTGTGAAAGTGGGAAAAGCTGGAGATGAGGTGGCCTGTGAGATATCATGTTTCCATTGTTACATGTAATCGAAACTATATTAGTTGTGAAAAAATCATTACAATACTCTAGTGTGGCTTAGAAATAAAGAAAATATCATATAAAATTATGTACGTAATAAGAAAAATGAAGAGCATGGGTTTGTATGTGTGGGCAGTGATGTCACAGCATACACACAGTGCAGCAGGCACGCACACATCTCTAAGTCAACTGAGTGAGTGCTCAGCTGGTTTGAGTGTGGAAGGAGCTGGGTTTTTTTTTACATAAAATATGTGCTTTTGTTTTATAATATGCTATTTATCAACTTTATTGTTTATCTTAAAAGATGTTGTAGTACAGTACATGTATGCAATTTGAATTTTTGTGTTAATAAATCCGTCGTTTAACTTTGAAACTATTCGTAATGAACTCATTTATTATTATTAGGGAGTTCAGTCCTCGCTGTTTACTGCCATGACATTTAAACCTGTTGCTTGTCCTCCATGCTTCGATGTTATCCTCATTTAGTAATAATTTTTTTTTAATGTTAGATTTTTCAGGAATGCAACCCCACCTACTTTGCTGTCTCTCAGAATCGAGTATGATGAGTAGTAGTAAGTGATGGCTGTGCATGAGTTGATTTATGTGGTGAGGCAAGAGCACAGACTGCAACCACACACCATGGCTCTCCCTTGTCCTGGTCCAGTGGTGCAGGTAGTTGCAACGAATGGGGAGGAGAGTTGCAATGGACTGCCAATAGCCCAGTTTGTTGGGTTTTGCCTTATTAGCCTGTCCATTTTGCATTGCCTTCATCTGCTGGTGTAGTCATTGGGTTCCCTTGTTGGTTATCTCTTCCACCTACACTGCCATTGGGGTCTTACTGGAGTTCTGTAAGCATGTCTCCGCTTCAGATTTTTCGCTTAGGGTTTACACCCGTAGTCTTATACCTACCAAGGTTAATCTGCAAGGCAGTGGTTAGTAGGCACCAGGACATGTCCACATGCCTGTGGGTCTATGTGCTGTCCCTCTGGGGCCCACTGCTGCTCCGAGATCCCCTGCTGGTCTAGCCTGGCCCCACGAGGCACCCAGTTATCATGTGTTGCCACGAGGAGGCACAGCAGGAGTTTTGATGGTGAAGAGGCTGTGTACTGGTAGGGGAAGACTTACAGAAGGTTGCTTCTTTGTTCGTCATCAGAGGTAGCCAGCGGCGGCAGCTGAAAGCGAGAGGTAGCAAACAGTGCTTGCACCTTAACACTAATATAATGCTGTCACACTAGATGCATTACACCACCCTGTGTGCACACACACACACACACTTTTAAATGAGGGATACTTGTACAGTATCAGACTACAGGTACAATTTACTGACATAAATTGTAGATACTTTTAAATACAGTAATACCCCGATTTACGCGGTCAATTGAACCCGCGGAGTAGCACGTAAAACGAGAAACGCGTAAAGTGAACAACATAACATATGGGATTAATTGAAATAGAGACCGGGCCGACTCCCAAACTACACTTTTTCAGACACAATACCTACGTTGTAGTAAAAATAACATCTTAATTTTATGATGGTATGCACACAATTAAGAGAAATATCAATAATATTAGGTTTTTAACACTTACATTAGTAGAAAAGATGGCTGGGCACACGGGGATGGGGGGTTGGTTCCGAGGCAGAGGGCAGATTATTGGCCCTCACCTGTATCACTTGTATCAATTATATCACTATCCACCACAGAGGCTTGCAGGGCCTCATTGTCAAACCCCTCAAAGTCCATATCCTCACTATCACTGACTTGGGCCGGCTGTGGTGGGTGGCGGGTGAAGAACTCAGTAATGTTTTGATGACTGGGCGACCTTGTGCGCACCCTGCCGCGCCGCATTCCGGTTCTGGCGGGGTACCACGTAAATGTGGAAACGCGTAAACGAGAACTGCGTAAACCAGGGTATTACTGTACAGTGGTCCCTCGGTTAACGAGCACAATCCGTTCTAGAAGGTTGCTCGTTAACCGAAACCATTGTTTCAATGGGTTTTTGGGTAATTGGTTCCAGCTCACCGAAAATTACCTAAATTCAACAAAAAAGGTAGAAAAGTACACTTACTTTGAGGTGTGTATGTAGAAGGCTCGTGGATGATGATGATGATGATGATGATGATGATGATGGGAATTAGAATGGGGGTGGAGGAGAAGGGAGAAGAGAAGGAATTGGGGTGGAAGAGAAGTCACCCCATGGCGCCATTTCACCCATAAAATTTTAGTTCTCTTGGTGTAATTCAAGATTATTTTCTTTAAATCAACACTGCACTGCATCATATATTGTCAATATGTAAAATAAATTTCAAAATGACCAACAATTTGCTTGTAAACACAGAAAAAAAGCGTTTAGTTGAAGAGTCTCTCAAGCAAGATGTTACCTCCACTGAAAAGACACAGATTGACGCCTGTATGCTGTGTTGGCAGGCTGGATGGCGTGCCACAAACTAGTGACCCTACCTTCAATTATGTTCAATAATTGTTTATATAACTAAAAAAAATTAATATTAAACTTTTAAAATTATTTAATAGTATAAACTTCTTGATATTTACTAAAAGGGTAAGGAATTTGAGCCCTAGAACCGATTACTGTATTGGCGGACTAATACTACAGCTGGTGGACCGCCAAATGCAAGCTAAAACATGTGGAGGTCGGCTCGTAAGATACTCGTTAATCGAGGGATTGCTCGTTAACCGAAGTTAAGAATCTTATGGAAGGTAACTCGTTAACCGAAATCTCGTTAACCGAGGCGCTCGTTAACCGAGGGACCACTGTATACTTTTCAAGCTAACTTAAAGATGCTTGACAAAGTATATGTGAAGCTCATAAAAGTGTTAGAATAATGTTTCATATAGTTGGCATTATATGGGATTCAGGTCTACTAAGCATAAATTTTGAGTAGACTGATATAATAATATGATAAAGAACTCACTCAAGAGGCCTATGCTGTGCTTGTTTGTCTTACTACCTTATTATGCATTCCTTCAGGCTAAAGTTCTTCCAGCGGTGGGCGGACGAGAAAATCCCCGACGTATTCTGGTTTTCTGGGCTGTTCTTCCCCTACTCCTTCCTCACGGGCATACGTCAGAACTATGCCAGGAAACATGCCATACCCATCGACAGGATTGACTTCCTGTTTAAGGTTACTACTTTTATATCTAGTACCATATTATGTTTATAATGTAATTATTTGTATGGTAATATTACAAACAAACAAGTGCCTAGTTTGTAAGGTTCAAAGACTGAACAAGCACCACAATGAACATCTTGACACTTATTCTTCTTTATTAATTAACTTTCAATTATCACAGTAGCCATCATCAGTGCAATCTATAGAAAAGAATCAACAATGATAAGATAAAACAAGACACATGACTGTTATAATATTAAAAAAATTAAACTATTAAATCAAAAGACAAATTCAAATCATGACTGGAGACTAGTTGAAAAGTGTAGTGAAGTTAAATGCAGTTATAATAACAACAATTTTAAAAATACACAATGAAACTAAAACAAATATATTATGCTAAATTGGAAAAATCGCTTACTTATTTACCAAATGACCACCCACAAGAAGTAGCTATGACAAGGGAAGGAGGCCAGTGGCCTGTGTAGGATCCCTCCAGTGTTCATGTTAATTTTGTAGAGGGTTATTTGAAGCCCAGTTCTGTTCATGATTCTACAGCTTGGGCTGGTAGACCATTCCAGGTCTCACCATCTGTGTGAAGAAGTATTTCCTGATATTTGTTCTGCAAGATAGTTTGACGAGTTTGTAATTATCTCCTTTCAGGATATTGTATATTTTAATGAAATCTTCCATATTGTGCCTTGTCTGAAAGATCTACTGAACTTGGATAATCGAGATGATATACAGTAGTTCTGGAATCATCTTGATTGCTTGTGCTGGACCTTTTCTAGGGATGTTATATCTTTCTGGAGGTAGGGTTTCCATGCTTGTACGCAGTAATCCAGACTGGGACATACTTGAGAGTTGTATAGTTCAAGGAGAATTTTTCTATCATTACCTGTATATTCAAAGGTACATTTATAATTCCCAAATCTCAATTTGCTTTTCTCACTACTGGAGTTACTTGTTGTGCCACCTTCATTGAATGACTTATCACAACACCAAGATCTTTCTCCTTATTGACAGAATCCAGGAAAGTGTGAAGGGACTTGCATTTTGTAATGTTAAAGACCATTTGCCAGTCTCAAGTCCATTTGAACAGCTCATGTGGGTAATTTTTGCCTTGTTGTGACATGTTCTTGACTTCTTTGACACCAATTGTCATTGGGTAAAGACAAAGGTGGCCAATCTAACTATCCAAAAAGGTGGAGGTAAAAATAAACTCACATTTGTTTTAGTGCAATATTACTCAGTGCCTACCAAGGGCAGACACATGATGACAATACTGCTCCTGCATGCCTACTACAGCTGTCACATGATGACAATACTGCCCCTGTATGCCTACTACAGCAAACACATATTGACAATACTGTACTGCCCCTGTATGCCTACCACAGCAGATGATATAGCTACTATAGCAATATATGTTCATTCAAGCCTTTTCTCAATGTAATGCCTGAAACCAGAATCAAGATCAGACACACACACAGGTTCTCTCAGAAATTGGATGTCATTCATGAATTCTTATTACAGTATCAGATGTGTTCTATTATGGTACTTCCCTTCAACCATCAAGTCCCAAATTTCTATCTGGTTTACCCGTCACTAAAAATCTAGCATCACCCACCAGCAGCAGCAGCAGCATATGCTTCCCCAAATATCACTCACTGGCATGCTCTCTAGTCATTTATGTACATTGCTGCTTCAGTAAAGTACAGTACTGTAAATTATATAAAATTTAATCTCATTTATCATAGGTTGTGTAATAATTTTGTACTGACAGCATACTCACTGTATACTCCATATGCATTTACACCAACAGGTAATGGAAAAGGAGGTGGAAGATATCATCCAGGAATGTATCAGACCCAACTTCGTGGAGTTGCCAGTGGTGATCGAGCGGCTGCCCACGCCAAATGTGCAGGGGCAGTACTACCCCCTCGACACTGACCTCGAAGACAACGAATCGCTTCCTTACGATAACGACTCCCCCCAGCTCAAGAAGGAGGGTGACCAGGTAACAAAATGCAGAAACAGATATCAAATGCCAGGCTAATAACTTTAGTACAGGGAGTGAAGGAAGGAAGGAAGGGAAAGTAAGTAATAAATCAGAGAGAGAGAGAGAGAGAGAGATATAAACCAGATTAAGTGGAAGGGAGTATTCAGGAAAGGATGAAGAGTAGAGTCAGGTAAACTAAAAGGCTGTCTTGGTAAGAATTGGACTATGAGGATGGTGAAGACAGAATGGGAAATGAAAGATTAGTTATCAAAAGAGAACCACATAACAGAGAGGGAAGAGCTTGATAAATAATGAAGGAAGAGAGACCAGGTACAAGCAGAAATAGATAAGGAAGGATGACAAGATAACAAGTGGTAGAAGGATGAAGAAGGAACTGAATAAGGAGGGAAAAGGTAGCAAGATCATGAAAGGAGAAGGATAAATCTTACCAAGATGACAGGTATGCTAATAGACAAAGGAAAATGGCATATGTGTGCCCTATATTCAAACAGGGTGATTAACACGGCTCAAACAATTAAGGTGCAGCCTTCTGGAGTCATCCTACTTCCAGAAAAAATAAATAGAAGTTGGAAGTTACACAAGCCCCCAAGCCCCATCTGTACAAGCAGCCTAAATAATTGTGGCTATCTTGTCATCAGATTTACTACCTCACTTACTGTTACATACTACAGGTACTCCTCTACTTACGAACGCGTTACGTTCCTGAGGCTTGCTTGTAAGTCCATCTTTGCTCTTGTAGATACCAAATATATTGTAAAAAATGAAAATATTATGGATATATAGTACAGCTATACCCTTTAATACAGCTTTAAAACCTGGCTCACTCTTCTCCTCTTAGGTAATGTTTGTTCTATCTGGAATTTTCTTCAAAATAGTCCAGTCTCATCCACATTAAACACCTGTTCTGGCAGGTAACCCCCCTCAGTGATGGTGTTTGTATCTCTGAAAGTTTGTAAGTTGAATGTTCTTAAGTAGAGGAGCACCTGTACAGTAATATCATTGTAATGCATTATTTTAAGAAAAATGGTACCAACCAATCATGTGTTATGGCTTTAGTTTTGTTGGAACCTAAACCCTTTTCTGGTTACTAACTGTACTGTAATCAATCCAAAACACTCAATGGTATGAACATAACACTGAAGCACTTACAAATTATCCAAGTGGCTGGTAAAGATGCTATCCCCTCTTACAGGCCAAATATCTAATTCACATATACGCAATAGCAGTGATTTAATTGATAAACTCAAGAAACACAACGAACCTTGCGAATTAATAAGTTTTGATGTAAATTCACTGTTCACTAGAGTACCTGTGAAAGACTTAATTTCATTTCTTAAAGATAAATTACAACTGCTAGATTTAACTATTGAACATGATACTTTCCTGAAATTGATAGTTATGCGTAACTGACAATGTGTTTAGAGCAAATGGGAAGTTCTACAAGCAAATATTTGGTATGAGCATGGGTAATTGTCTTTCTGCTCCTCTAGCCTGTATTTATATGGAGTTTTTTGAGACTAGATTACTACCCAATATAGTGGACTTTATTCCTCCATGGTATAGATATGTAGATGATGTTCTTTGTCTTTGGCCTAAAAACAGTGACCCATTGAAATTTTTAGACAAGCTTAATAATATTGTCCCTAGTATCACATTCAAAATTGAAAGAGAAATAAATGAATCCCTTCCATTTCTTGATATGCTTATCATGAGAAATGGCCAAAACTATAAATTTAAGGTATATAGAAAGCCCACACAGG